GATAGTTTCAACTTTGTTGAGCACATCATTTGGAAGTCCTCCTTTGTGTACATATTTCCCTTGGCCGAGTGCTTCGACCCTTTGGTATCCGCACCAGCTTTTCGGTCCAAGTGGACACAGGCCATGTCTCTGCTGCTTGTCGGTAGAGCTACAATGAAAAAGACTGGCAAGGATAGCTTTTTTCTTTGTAGAAAGGTTCCCCACATTATCCCTTATGGCGATGCCATAGTAGTTTTGCAGGCAGTCAATGAGGGCATCAGTGAGCTTTTCCTAACCACCGAGTCCACGCACTGTCTTCAGTTTTCTGAGGCGGCAGCCAACACGCTTCTGGACATGCCCAATACATTCTAGTTTCTGCACACTGTTCTTTCCATACAAGTCTTTAACAGCAGCATAGCTCTTAGAATCACCATCGCCGTAGTACTGCAGGTACTTCACATCTCTTCTGCCTTTCGACCTTTCAAATATTCGGTATAGACCAACTGTCTCCATGCTGCCAGCACTTCATGTTTTGCTTGACAGGAAGTGTGGTTTGCCTTCCATTCCTGGTACGAAGCACTATCTTGTCTCAACTTGCTTTTCGTTTTAGAAGACTTACACGAACTAGAAAGGGCCTCAACAACAATATCCTTTCCCGTGTCAACAGAAATCAGACACACAACCATTCAAAGATGAATGGCCACGCTTCTGCCACGTGCCATCACCTTAAACACCACACTCAGCACTCCCCACAACACGACGAACTCCCACGGCAAGCATCAGTCACCGACTTCGACGCCACTTCTCCTACCGCTGCAGAAAGCCGAGATGACAATTTGTCCTAGGCGGAGTGACGTGGAAGAGCAGGCATGCTCATCACTTTCGAAAAAGTTTTCGCACCAGCATGCCCATTTCCTAACTGACGCATCGCGTAAACCAGACGGAAATTGTTCTCATTGGCACCACCCACCTTTCTCGACGTATGAAATGGACGCCTGAACCCACAGTCGGTACACTTGACCGCACAAGCCGAGCACATCCCTTCGTGAGAGCATTCCTCGAGCTTCAGTGTTCTGTTCACGCATTTGGAACATGCCAGCGATGAAAACACTGAAGGAAGAATACCAATGTCCATTATCCTGTTCCCTTGGAGCGCAGAATTCTCTAGTGGAGCCTGGTACGCTTTGTTTATGTCCCCAAGCTTTTTCGCGGTCGCCGAAATGCCGGCGTCTGTGTCAGTAGGCAGCCTCGTCGTCATGTAGCGATTCCCAGCAAACTCGCGCTTCCTCGTCTTCTGTGTTCTGCACTTTCCCATGCTGGTCGTAATATGGTCCAGGTGGCCTAAGGATACAGGCCTAGTAGCGTTGACACGTGGAAGAAATGCAGAACAAAGCCTGACCAAGTCAAACAACAAAAATTCCGACGATCATCGTGCGTCCCCCTTGTGGCTGTTGGTAGAGATTAACGAAGACTTTTAAACACAAAGTTATATTTAATGACAGCATCTTATATAACAGTCACAATAAAATGCATAAACTATTTTGAATAGCATTAATACATACGAAACAACACTTGATATTGAAAGCGATTTTTCTAAACCGAAACCACAGTTGAAAATGTGGTTTCGGTTTTGCTATCGGAGCATAGGGTATAGAAAACTTGCTGTAACGTGTAAATTAATGTCGCTAGGAGGATAATTTTTGTTGCAACATATATGTGAATGTTTGGGCGTGCAAGAAAAACAAAACCCCGAAATTAATTTCGCGAAAAAAAAAAAAAAGACTTTTGAAGGTGGCCTACCACCTTAAACAATAGAGGGTGAACTTGAGTTATCTCAGGAACAAGATGCATTACAGGATGAATATTGGAAATAAGCAGGGAAAAACTGCATAAGCTTGTGCCGTTTGATGAAGATCACTGAAGAAATAAAAAAAAATGTCTAAGACTAGTCTGCCCGCCTAATGTACTTGTAGTGTCTCACAAAAGTGCTAAATCACCTGATTTTCGCGTACACGGCACTTCGCTCTGCGGCATCGCCGGCTCTTAAAATTTCGCGGGCATGTAGGCCTAACCCTCTTCTCCCAGAGCCCACTTCAACAGCGCGGCATTCGCGCTGAAAATACAAAAATAAATAAAATTTCTTAACTGCATTTTTGCAAATGCGTGGCGAATGGGCCTTTTTGAAGTCACGTGGTATGACCGGAGCATTGGTTGAGAGCATTCCGACGTGCAGTCGGACGCGAGCGCTTTCTTCGTTCTCTTGCTTTTGCCAAGACAGACGAACAGAATAGCCCGAGTTACTTTTTCTGCACTATGGATGCCGGCGAGAAACTCTGTCGTACACTGAAGTTCCTTACGTGCTGCCAGTAAAATGGAAGGTGCCCCAAATGCTAGCGGTGAGTGCTGGCGGTGGGAGGTTCGTCTGCTGCTAGGCCTAGCCGGGACAGTGGCAGCACACCTGATTTGGATTGTTTGAGCTGCATTCCTAGCGTTCATGACTTCGTCAGTGCTTCAGAGCGAAAGATAAAGATATTCGACGACCAAAGCAAGTGTCAGGACAAACGTAGATGCACATTTATTTGTGAGGCCGATGCGATGCAGAACCCCGTCAGTCACACAGTATGCCTCAGCTGAGGGCCGGGTCAGCTGTTACATTTGAGTAGTAGTATCGGCAAGTAGACAATAAGGACTGGCATTGTTTTCGAAACTTTGTTGCCGAAATGACGCATGCCCTGCAACTGTTCTTTCGTCCATGTACACGTAAAGCCGCGAGTATCCGTCATGCATTGGAAGCGAGGAGACGTCCAACAGCGGTAGTGCACGGGACAGCTTCTCCATGAACGTGAAGTCGGTGGTCGCATCGAGTGCAATCGGTGTCTGACACGAGCAGCTTGCGCGTTTTGTGCAATCCTTGCTGTTCAAAACCCAGCACACCACAAAACTTCCACTTCCATTGAAAAAAAAAAAAGTGCATGCCGCCGCCAAAAACCTTGCACGAGCCATAGCGCAATGCCGCAAAAAAAAAAAAAAAAAAAAAGCCTGCCGGGAGGAGGCAGCTCGCAGAGACTGTCAGGGTGAAACATATGGTGCTGGGTCATTCTAAAACTGTGAACTTTTTCTGATAGCCTTGCTGACATTCTCTGTGAATTTCATGCAGATAAGTTCACAAGTGTAGCATTAAACATGTTGTTGAACTTTTAGACCTGCTTTTCTCAGAGTCTTATTTTTCAGCATTTTAGAGCTTGTGCACTAAAATTTGTATGCTTTATATGTAGTCGGATTCTAATAAAACTTAGCATGCTAACATGTCCTGAATTAAAAAATCAACTTTCAGGGGTCTCCAAAGCATATCTAGCTAGATAACCTCAAAAGCTTGTTCCTTGAGTACGGTAAAACAAACTCAGCATTAGAATTTTTTTCTAGGCCAGCATACATATGTTACACAATGTTTATTTTATAGAGCGTCCTTGTGCTTATTATGATTGCCTTAGCTTGCAAGAAAATTCATTGTTTATAAATGCTTAGTCTGCAAAGAATGAACTGAATGAGATATTGAAAGAAATAAAAGCAGATTTAAATAGAAGAGCTCAAACTCTACAACTGGTGAAACTTTCATTGAACTGTCACAAATATCAGGAAAAAAATTTTTTTTCCTGAGGAGCATCCTCCCCCTTCAAGGGTCACTCACCAGGCCCCATAACAAATTTTAATTAGACCGTGGAAATTGTTGGATGTCCGATGAGGGTCATTTTGCCACAAAATTTTTTTAATCGGTTGATTACGAGCCGAGAAAACTTTTTTTTAAGAAGCTACGCAAAGGAGAAAGAGGAGGTCAGCTCGGAACCCTTGCCGCTCCTCCACGTAGCATTCGAAAGCCAAATCCCTTCCTTGCCCTCTCCAGCATCTGACCAAGTACGCCTGACGTGCCCGAACAAGCGCAACCCCTGTACACGCAAGCGGCATTTTTTTGTTGTTGGCCAGCATTGTTTTAAAGTCTACTGCCTGTTTTTGCGAGATGGTTTGGAAACGCTGGCTTATACGCGGTAGAATAGATGAGCACAATGAGTGCGCAAACGCATAGGGGCATTTCACGGCTGTTGTCAGCTCGTTGCGCTGACCGCGGCGACACGAACGCATGCGAAACACCGGCACATGAGCCCCACATCTTGTTGCGATTCACGGGAAAAAACGAAGAAAAAAAAAAAAAAAAAAAAGAGCGCTCATATTCTCATATTGCGTCTCATTACTTATTTAGAAATTTATTAATCCCTTCAAGCAACAAATAGATATACTATGCATGTAAATAATTATACTATGAATGTAAATAATAATAAATAACGTCAGAGCATAGTCGTCTACATAGAGGACCAACGTCACTGCATTGCCGTGTACGTAGGGCCATTCATACGCGCACGTCATGCCCTCATCCTCTGGGCGCGCTCGCGAAAGCAAGGAGGAGCAGCGATCTTGAAATTTGACCTAATTTCGCGGCGCGTGGCATTGCAAATTTTGGTAGACGTGATCATAAACGCCTCATCTACGCATTGCACTTGTCAGCTCAAAATTCTCAAACCTGGCGAGTGGCTCTTTAGAAGTGCACAGTAGGCTCATGTGGCGCTACGCCATGCACGTAGGCTAGCGATTGACTATAAGTCCGACTGGCAGGCCTTTCGGTAGTTGCCGCATCACCTTTGTTCTTTGGTGATGGTTATCAGAAGGACCACTACAATCACGCGCAAGTCTAAATAACTGATCAGCTGTTTCCGTGATTTTGCAGTAGCGTCGCTGTATCAAAATGAAGCAGCACACGTGTACAAGATGGCAACTATCATGTAATGCCTGCTCACTATGCGTGCTGTCAACAGTATTTTGGGTTACAAAACCACAATGTGGTGCAAATTTAAAAAGAGATACTTTTGGAGCAGTAATTTTTAGTTGACTTAGGTTTCCTACCCTTATTTAGTTCGACATGCAGTCATGCTATGCTATGTCGAATTTGGTATAGAGCTGTGCTCACTCACCTCTTTGAGAAGGGAACCTCGGCGGTGACAGTGACCTTGTTCTTGTCCTTGTCCACTGTGATCACCCCAGACAGATTGTTAGTCTTCCCATTGTACTTGATGCGTTCACGCAAGTAGCTGTCCTGCACAAATGATCATGCCACGGCTCAGGCAAAACTGTGCGCCCTAAAAAAGTCAATGATGGAGCACAGTACTTTTTGAAAAGTATACTAGCTACACAGAACTGCCATTCAAAAGCTTGTCTGGAAACTGCGCACCATCTCCTGGACATGCACTTAGAAGTAAAGCGTGGCCAATAATATTTGCCCCTTTGGATGCTTGACTATGGCAGGATGCTCGACTATGCCAGTTATTGAAACATTAGTGGTCAAAATATAAAAAAATCTGCATCAACATTTAATCGAGAAGCTGAGCGAAATTGTGCAGTTACCCCTAGGAACACGTTTAGAGTGCACTGCTCCCGATGTCACCTGCTAGCCATCAAAGCATCTTCTGTACAAGTGAATTTCGTAAATAACCTAAAACAGTGGTGCACACAAAATGACTAACTAACCAGCCGTTTACGATCGCCAATTGACTACTTGGGCTTCATTTTCGAAGTCTACATTACAATGCATTGCTCGTCGCAGCCAATGTATCGTCTTTGGATGTTTTGAGCATGGTGCGCTCGGTCGTTACAGGGGCCCCCACGGGACTTGTTGACGCACGCACTGAAAAACTGAGTGCCCAAAGTCCTGATGCACATGAGGTATTTTAGTACTTGCTATCCCTCCCGGCTTAGCTTCCAACACCTTTGTCAGGATAGAAGAATGCAATTGCAGCATGCAACTACTCTTTGTAACTCCACTCGTTCTAGACTAATAAATAAGTAGGTGTTGCTACTGCATGACTTAGGACAATTCATGAAGTGCAGAAATATTAAGAACGTGATAAATGGTAAAAAAGTCCAAAAGAGACAAGACAATTGAAGAAACACAGGGCTAGCACCCAGTGTGGGTTTTTTCGGTTCTCTCATTTTCTCTGTGCTGTTTTTTACTTTTTTACAATATGTATACTTTTACTTTTTTACAATATACCGACTAGCCCAATGAAATAAACTTCTGAGATTCAAAATGGCATGTAAACATTTCCAACACAAATTGCTATGCATTAAATATTACAAGGTAAATGAAACAAAAATATTCTCACAGTAGCTTTTCCTTCACTAGCTCATTCTTTAGTTGACATCAATGCTGGCTGACGCGGACATTATTCTTCCAGAGTCTGAACGAGGCTGGGTTTATTCACAGCATAGCTAACAACATGTCTGCCGTGCTATGTTCTTTCGAAGGCTGCCTATCATGCTCGACATTTAACCCGAAGCACCTTCAAAAATGGACAGCACAGTCCCTGGGGAGCCCAGCTCTCTTCTTTCCCAACATTAAAACGTAACTGCCTGTCTCTGATTGTGTATCGAGGATAAAATGGGCAAGAAAGTGCCCTTTGCACAAACTGTATCTCCTTTGCAGTGCGTGGTTTTTTCGCAGTATTGGATGAAAAGGACGTTTCTGTCAGAAGACTTCATTTCTACGTACTTCTCTATGCAAAATTTATACCTAATGATGGATATGTGGGGTTTAACGTCCCGAAACCACTATATGATTATGAGAGACGCCGTAGTGGAGGGCTCCGGAAATTTAGACCACCTGGGGTTCTTTAACGTGCACCCAAATCTGAGCACACGGGCCTACAACATTTCCGCCTCCATCGGAAATGCAGCCGCCGCAGCCGGGATTCGAAACCACACCCTGCGGGTCAGCAGCCGAGTGCCTTAGCCACTAGACCACCGCGGCGGGGCGCAAAATTTATACCTACTGTTGCAAAAGGGCACAAAGCACTTGCCCATTTTCCTGCAGCACAAAAACACTTCTTCATTAAACTTACAGCTACCTAGCATTATTTCTTCCGTGTTGGTGTCAATTCTGGACCCAGAGTCCAACTCTGACCACTAGAGGATCGTCATTGCTATAGATTGTGCAAGCAGGTATGCCAACACTCGAGCGCTCTCTACCAGCACTGCTAGTGACGTTGCAGACTGTCTCGCCCCCCAATGTCATAACATCATGGGTCTCCCAGCCAACTGCTCACGGATCGTGGCCATGCATTTTCGACCTGAGTATTCGACAAATTTCTGCGCTCTCCATAAACGCAGCACAAGCTGACCACTTCCTTCCATACCCAGATAAATGGTGCCACGGAGCGCCTGAATCACACCCTCGCGGGCATCCTCTCAATGCAAGTCTCACCTAATCACCGTGACTGGGACTTGGCATCACCTCAAATGATCTTTGCTTACAATTCCTTGCGCAATGCCACTACTGACTACTCACATGCTCTTATGGCCGTAATCGAACCAAAAACAGTTACTCCTCCACCTAGCAAATATGCACGTGATGTCATCGCTCATGCCGACTGCACGCGCACCAGATCGTCGGCCCTAGGGTGTCGGCATGTTCACATCATTCATTCCGCACCCGCTCTCTAGTTCTGTGGTGCCCACTTGGTCGTGTTGGCTTGACAGAGAAGTTGTCTCAGTACGTGGGTCTCTACAGTATTGTTTGCCAGGGAAAGGACATCACCTACGAAATCGTTCTATTTCCTGCGACCACCCCACCGAAAATCAAATCCAGAGATGTGCACATCAGAAGGCTAAAACTGCACCCCCTCCTGCTAAATACCAAGTGCAGTGAGACTGTGCTTTTACCGCCAGGGGTCATGTCAGATATTCTGCCTACAGAAGAGGACTGAGAGAGGTGGCCTGCTCGGTATGCCGGCTGTTTTCCATCTTGGTTGATGCTGTGCATATCAGTTACATAACCCGTAAACAAACACGTCTCTTGTTAAGTAACAGTATACTGCAATTACTAATCTAACGCGCACCATTTTTCTGGTTAAGCGAGTTCATAAATCGCATGCGCATTAGAATATAGTACGAAAAAAGAAAAGAATACGGTCATTCTATTGCCATCGGCATTTCCAAAATGGTCGTCCCTTACATGCGTCGACATGGCGCGTCAGCCATTTCTGCCTACGTGTTTCCCATGTGCAGCACTTCGTACGTGTTCTGAGGTGTTGATCATCTTGTAGTGCATTAGCATCGACAGCATGGAAGGACCGACTCCAAAAACTCGACGAGTGCACCACGATGCCGCTTTTAAAAGAAATGTCATCGCGTGTGCCAAAACAAACAAATCGGGCCGCATCGTGGTCATTTGGAGTTCCCGAAATGTGCATGCGGGACTGGCAGAAATAAAAAGCACAAGATTGTCGACAGCAAAGATAACAGCTTCAGTGGACCACAGCAGGATCGGTTTCCGCAAATTGAAGAGCTGCTTGGCGAGTATGTGATTGAGCAGTGAGCGGCACAGCGGCCTGCGACGACAGAACTGCTCCATGTGCAGGCTATGCGGTTAGCCTTAGAAAAAGGGCTAATGCGGAGCCAGTTTAAAACGAGCAGGTGCTGGATAACTAACATTATGAAGAGGAAAGGATTTCCCTCCGAAGGCGAACAGGCATATGCGAAAAGTTTCCGGAGGAGTACGACGAAAAGCTTCACAGTTTTTCAGAGGTTCGTCCTAAACTTGCGGCACAACAACGGCTACCTGCTTGGGCAAATCAGGAATGTCCACCAGATGCCTCTTTACTTCGACATGCCTGGCACCACAACCGTCAGAAGAAGGGGAAGAAGCAAGTTCGCATGCCGACATCGGGCCACGGTAAAATTAGAGTGACGGCAATGCTTCGTTGCACGTCAGATAGGCACAAGCTTCCCCCGTACCACAAATTTAAACGGAAGACGCTCCCGAAAGGAGTCGTTTTCCCGAGTGGTGTGATCGTGCGTGCCAACGAGAAAAATGAGTGCGCGTTGCAATCGATGTCTTACCTTTTTTTTTTTTCCGTCATGGAAACCGGGTGTGCCTTACAATCGAGGGCGCGGTAGAATCGAGTAAACACGGTACGCGAGATGGGACCTAAATGAGTTGACTGCCAGCCTCAATTCATATATCAACGCCGTCACTACCCACGAGCCCTGTTGTGGTAATCTACCGTGGCCGCCCTGCAGAAAACTTGGTGACTTAGCAAGTGCATGTTCACTACAATTATATTGCTTCTAAAATTGCTAGCCTTGGTTCGCGCACAATACCGTGGCTTTTGCGGCAAACGGTAGTTCCTTGAACAACCCCCGTGCTCTTGGCTGCGCACGCGGCTTCAAAACGAGGTCGTATACTATCTACAATTGCATCTGCCACAGTTTTATTTGCAGAGTTTGTAGAAAGCAGCGTTGCTTTGACTGGTTGAGTGCATGCTTTCCGGGTTCTGTCAGTTATATCGTCACCATACATGATCACGTCAAGGGCAACAGAGGTTTCGCCCACGGCGGTTGTGGCAACGACAATCACCCTACTGTAGAAGACAGTGCGCACCCGTCGCACGCGTACTTCAGAAACCGAGTACGCTGCTCTTGGCCTTCGTTCGGCGGCTTCCGTACTAAAGTTCGTTATCACCCTGCCACAATTACGAAATGTGTTAAAAACATTCGAATTTAGGCCCAATGGGAACAGTAGAATTTGGCTGGGGAATTGCAAGAATGATTATCTGCCGTGTTTTCGCATCACTGAGATTCCACTGTACGTTTAAAGAAACGCCTATCAAACTCATTTACATAAAATGGGATAGGTTGGAAAAGCCTGGAGTTGATCGAGCTGCTTTTTTGTCAATGCAAATAGACCACACACAGAAATTTCGATTTCCAGGAGACTTAGCAGGTATGTCATTTTCTCCACATAATTTTTTTTTGCAACGTTGGAGAGGGAAATTTGGGAGCTACTCTATTCGTGCGCATGGAGGTGAAGGCTTGCGAGAGAATTGCCTTTGTGGACGCTAGTGGTCGTGTTGCACGAGATCACCAACAAGGCCCGCCTTATGAGGCTCAACCTACGGCGCCTGCTTTCATTAGCCACGCAAGAATTGCAAAAGGTACCTGCTTCTTTTTCATTTTTTGCAGCACACACTACAGAGTCACGCACAACCGATATCAGCTTGCATGAAAAGAACCGCTTAGCAAAGGCCGGTCGTGCACCATAAAGGACATCCGTTTAAAGATTGCCACGATGTGTAACTTGTTATAACTGCAATGGAAGGCACGCAGCAGTTGTTTGCAAACCTGAATACGCTCAAAGGAACCACTCAAACGAAGCAAGGGCCCCCATTTCGAATGTGAAAACAAATTAATCATCATCGCAATGTTAAGAAATTGCGGCACTACTAAAGACGTTTCGGGCATGGTTGATAACCGAAAGTGTCTCGTTTTATCAGAGCTGTATTTGAGAATGGAAACCAACAGACAGACATTCATCAGGCAAGATATCTCTAAGAAGCTAGGATTTTTCCATATTGTGCACTATCGAAATCTATGTAACGACATTTGGAGGAGTGAGCCGAGCACCAAGACAATGACTGAACATTGTCAAAGCGATGCTAGTGAGTCAATCAGATCATTGAAAACATGAAATAGAAGCCATAGAAATTCCGTTTATTTGTGAGCACCTAATTTAAATGCCAGCAACAAACGTATTTTTCTTCGCTAAGGCACGTCGCCAGGCGAGTTAGTTGGTATTCATCATTTATAAGGGTATGACGCACCTCGACAAGACACAAAAAGAGACACACACAGTGCAGTGTGCGTCTCTTTTTTCGTGTACTCGACGTGGTGAGCTATACCCTTATAAATATGAGTATGTTTCTTAGCAGAAAAGAAGTTCATTGCTGATACAGTGCACATTCCCGGACTAAAGAGTGAAGACGGCATATGCATGCTCCTAAGAGCAGACCAAATGTGAAAATTTTTGGACAATGTTTTCCCTCACGAGCACCAGCAAGGCCTAATTTCCATCAGCACGAAACTGGAATGAACGTCGTAAGGCCCAATACACTGCGAAGAACAGAATTATACTGGGGCTGTTATGCACACCTGCGTTCATTGTACGAGCTTTGATGACTCGGTCAAGCCTCACTGATTGCGACTATTCTCACAACCAGAGGTCGAATAGCTACGAAAGTTACAAATGACAACAAGAAGGACACACCCGGACCATTCAACGAGGAAGTACCGCACAAAGATTAGCGATTTGAAGTCGTACTTCCTTCGGCGAATATGAACTAGAATTTCACAAGTGACTGAGCAGTTGGTGTTCCACTACTTAAGATTCAAGCACGACCTAAAACGACACGACAAGGTGATAATACCTTAACAATCTGGCATAGGTGTTGGTCAATTTCTTTTAGAAGACGAACACTCATTCATCGACGACAAGCGCAAGCCAACGATACGAACGCGTACTGAAAACGCCAATTCGATGTGCTGTGAAAAAGCCTTGGTGCTACTTCCAAACCATCATAAGGTCATTAACCTCACAGTTATGCGAGCTCACGAAATACTGTATTTATTCGCATAATTTGCATACCCCTAATGTATTGTCAGCTTTACGGAAAAAAAATATTTACTCACATATTTAGCCCTCCCCTACTGGCGCACGGACGAAAACTTTTGACCTTCGGGTTCTTTACGGGCACACGCGCACCCCACCAATCAGGCGAGCGCAGTCAAATTGGTTGCAAGTGCGAATTCCCTTCTTCCGAGGACTTCCCCTGGGCTACGGTTACTAGAATGCTGTACCCAAACCTATTGACGGGTCTACGCTGACGGGTCGCCAGAGCCCCTCGAGCATTTTTCCTGTTCTTTTTTCCACGGTTTCCTCCTTCTATCTTTACATCTCTACCACCGTGGGCATACCCGCTCACATCACGGCACAGATAACTTTCAGTTTTGGAGGCTTGTGAGGGACTGCCGCGCCAACTGTTCCTCTCGTTCTCTGTGTCCGCACTGCAACGCATGCTTGGTTTCGAAAGTTTAGGTTTTGTCATCTGTCCACTGCGTATTTACTGTTCTCTTGTGACAGGCTACAGTAATTATACATACAACAAAAACCAAGCTCGCTGTTATAAACTTTGTCGAAGAAAATGGAAATCTTGCCATTGCCAAGCACTTCAGTGTGAAGTGCTTCAACGCGTGACTGGCGCGATCGGTACTAGAGAAAGGAGAACCCACGCTTGCTAATACGAATTTCCTGCCTATTGAAGGCCTTTTCAATTATGTGCGATCGCATAGGTCCTCTGGTATCGTGTCAGTATTGTCAAGAAGGGCTTCAAGAAAATGGGACTATCAAACGAGTTGAACACAACCAAGGGCGATGACAGCGGCGGCGACCATGCTTCTCAATGGGGCCTCTCGATCAGCGATTCCGACAAGATTGCGCTTGATTGGATCTGACTGGTTTGAGTACGTCACTGATGGAAGCGACATTTTGCTTTTTGGTGTAGATTCTGGAGCAGGAAAAATGGTGCTTTGGAGAAGGTAAATGCTATAGCTTAGGGCTGCTTTCGGTCTTTTCAGAGCAGATGCATGTTCCTAACGACTCCTGCAGTCTAAAATATCACTTAAGTATCTAATATTTATAATTATTATTAAACATGCCATATGCTAGTATACATGCCATATAGTAGCATCATTGGTGTAAATCATGAGGGCGGGGCAGGGTCAAAAGGAGTCCGGAAGTTTCTGTGTTCAGGCTGGGGAAGACAGCCTTTGCAAGAGGCCCCGCCGCGGTGGTCTTGTGGCTAAGGCCCTCGGCTCCTGACCCGCAGGTCACGGGTTCGAATCCCAGCTGCGGCGGCTGCATCTCCGATGGAGGCGGAAATGTTGTAGGCTCGTGTGCTCAGATTTGGGTGCACGTTAAAGAACACCAGGTAGCCGAAATTTCCGGAGCCCTCCACTACGGCATCTCTCATAATCATATGGTGGTTTTGGGACGTTAAACCCCATATATCAATCAGCCTTTGGAAGTGTCCCCTTTGAAACTTAGCTTGAGCATCTGATATAATTGAGCTTATAGTTAAGTATAGAGCAATTAACATTTTAAAAGACTCTTTGTCTGTTATTGCGTACCTGTGTTAAACTCCCTCAGCTGTGTGAACTATGGAAATTACGAAAAGGTGAAAAAAAAAAAAAAAAGACTGAACAGAAAAGTGCAACCACTACAGCTCAGATACCGTGCTTGTTTTTTTAATGTCCCATTTGAAAGCAATTTTTAATTCTTATATATATATATGAATACAGCCCATAACAGAAATACGAATTGGCCAACATGACCTGTTGTGTCACCCCTTGGGATTTTTCAGGATTTATGCCACTGAGTTGCATACTAGGACGACAGTGTGTATACAGCTTGTTTTGGTTTCGCTTAGGCTCACGGGATGGTCTCATGGTTTAACTTAATGCTTTTTAGTTTGCCAACACCATTTAGAAACAGCAGTTCCATCACTGGTACGTGATAATTCTTTTAAATAAACAATTGCACTTTGTTAGTGCTCCAAATCATTAACTTTTTTTAAATTATAGATGGCGCACATTAGGACTATTGCACATTATTGTGTATGCATTTGCCAGATCTCCGCGTAATTTGCGCACCCCCTTCTTGGAGCCGCAAAATCACGAAAAAAGAGTGCAAATAATGCGAGTATATACGGCAGTGCTTGATGGTGTCGGTGTAACGTTAGCCAAAATTCATGTTAGGTTGTGTGCGCTGAGAGCCAGTCAAGCTGTGAGATGTGCAAGTAAAAAACTACCTGGCGTGTGCTCAGTTTCGAACAAAGGTGACAAGTGCGCCAGTCGTGTCCAGAAGATCGTGTCGCAACTATTGGCTTTTGGCAATGACAGATGTGGATTTTGTAGGGTTGTACAAGGCTGTTGTGGGGCTCAGAGATCATACGTAGTGATTTAATTTTTATTTGTGCAAATAACGCCATAGCTTATAAAAAAGGTTTAAAAAGGATTATAATACATGCACTAAGCACTAGAAACAACGAGGCCATCAACGATAGCATGATGATTAGGATAACAAATGCACAGCCGAAGAGCTTCCGGGGGGTGGTTGTGAAAAATCGTTATGAACAGTGCACTTTTAACGGGTGCACTGTTCCGCGGCGGGTGTTAAATATTTAACACAGAAGAGAAAGAAGTGTGGGCAGGAGGGGAGAGCCGTGCCTGGTGTGTGCCGAATGTTTTGCCGGTCATGGACACGTTTTTTTTTTTTCTCTCGTAGTCATTAAGCCTTTGTTTTGCTTCACTCTACCGGCGAAGACACCTTTCTTCTACAGGTACCTCGGGATACCGTTTAGCAGCAACAGTCGCTACAGCGAGCGACCACGTGTCCGGCAATCCGAATGTTAGCGCCTCTGAAACAAGTCCCTTACCAGCTGGCAGAACGCGTTCCGGGCGGCTCCTGTACGCGCTTCTCACAAGTGCGGCGGCGACTCGCTTGCCGTGCTCACCATATTGCAGCACGGGCGAAATCAATCTAGACTTACGAATTCCGCCACTTTCATGATGCCATCTTCGACTGGATGCGTGCAGTCGATGACGAACTTGGTCTGCACCTTTTTCTTCTTGCCTTTGGACTTTGCCTTCGTGGGCCGCTTGACGTTTTTTGCTGGCTGTGTCTGCGAGGAAGACAGACCGGGAACGCATTAGGACTAGCGAAGACAACGTGGTCTTGCTTCGCCAACACTCCGCAACGGATCACGTTGCTCAGCAATGCCTGCCTCGAACATCGCGCAAAGGACATGAAATGCTAGACCATATACGACGAACAGGGGCACATATTACCCAACTTTAACGCGAAACGTGCTCGATTTTGAGGAACCGTCACTCACCACGGCCATCTCGATTGCTAGACACGTTGAAAAAAGGACTGACCATAGCCTCCTATATGGACTGACGCAGGGACGATGGGAGTGATGATGATGATGATGAACCCAATGAATGATTCTCGCATCAACGTCACATGAACGACACTAGTTTACCAATAACTCAAAATAATTTATTTTAAACCAAAACACTTAGTAAAATGTTTCAAATAATTGTTTGGCTTTATTATGGTTGTATATTTGCATACAAAATAATATTACGTTTACAGCGCTTTCTTCTCGCTTTTTTGTTCCCGTGTAGCTGGCCTTGCATGTTTAGGAGTCGGGTAGGTTAGTAGGGCAAAAGCCGAGTGAATCGTCGCGGGTAATCTACGGACGAGGAATGCTGGCCGACGTCGCGAGTTCTGGGTAGCCGTGTTGTACAGGCAAGTAGTGCTGAAACTTTTCTCGAGTGCAGGCGCATCAAACTTCGCCACCGTGCACCGAACGATCGTGGCTATGCGGTGCCCGATGCGAAGAAACCGGCGTCTCTCGTCTGCCGAGGAAACTATGGCGGTGATTCAATCGATGGCGTTCGCCCGCTGTTTTATTCCCCTCGGCTCTGGGGTTTCGTTTCTCCACGATTTACTCGCTCCAGGCGTGTCCTCCTCGTCGGGCGAAGCTGAGTCGCAGTAGATCGTTCACGGCCGGAAACCCGTGAAACCTCGGTACGGAGGGGGCGTCTCGGAGTTGCAAGCATGCGAGCCGGTGCCGCCCACCAGACAGTCGTGCAAACATTCCCTGAACCACGACCTGAACTTGCGGCCACGCACGGCCTCGCGCCAGTGCCTCCGAGATGGAAACGCGGCTGTGAGGTTTCGCTTCGCAACTTATTGCGTTGCAGGAGAAGGGCCCGCTGCTGGTCGAGTGACATGTCGACTGGGCGTTGCAGCAAATGTCTGCGAGCTATGCTGGCAGAGCACTGTAGTGTTTTCTTGAAGCAGACCGCGTGTATACTTCGCCAATGCTTTGAATCCACGACTAGCTGCGCATGCTTTGGGATGCTACAACTGAAATGCATATACGTACTCGCATCCAACCTATTACTTGAAAAGTGTTGCAACCGGGTCATTTTCTTTCTTTAAGCTTTTTAAAACAGCAGCACTGTGCGCTATTTTGTGCGCTGTACCTACCCGCTGTGGCACCTCTCATTATTTTAGCAGAAAAGGTGGTAAAAGCTGGGGTAAGAGGTGCCAAACGGGACCTTGCCAAAGCTTATTTCCCATTCTCTTAATAGCAATGCAGAGCACAGCTGCCAACACAGCCATGTTTGCAATTACGGAGAGCTCAGCTGCTCGGCAGGCATTCGTGCTAAAGCAGTTGGGACGCACACACACACAAGAGATCTCGTGCTCATGTGCTCTGTGGCAGGCTGAACGACTCCATCAAGGCCAGTACTAGCAGCTAGATGGAAAGTTGGGCCTGTTGGATTGCATTCGTAATTGAAAATTTTGTTAAAGCGCACTAAAAAGCAGACTGACAGAAGAGGCTGGCAAGGACAGCGCTTGCTCTCACAACTGAAGTTTTATTAGAAAGAATTTAAAGCGGTTACATGGTCTTTCGTGCTTGTGCATCAGAGAAGGCTGCAACAGAAACCACTCTTGTCAGGATTACAAGAATTGTACATATTAAGTGTCATTTGTTATATTTTACAAGTACTAGGTGTCGAAATACGCGTACTCTTTATCATGCAGAACAATTGTAGCTTGGCTAACACAGTCATGCCCCGCTTTCGGATGTGGTAAGATTCCACTATCTCGCGTGTAAGCTGATCCTTGTGTGGAGATTTCTGTTTCTTTAAACACAAGATAACATCCCCAGTTTTTACAGTGACCTGCAAGATGACTGTTGCCTGATGCCTTAACAGATGTGCAATGTTCTCTAAGGCGTTAGTTCATGCATCTTCCTGACTGGCCTATGTAGACTTTTCCACAAGAAAAGGGTAGCATATATACCACTATTTTCCGAACTTCAGGAACATGCTTCTGTGTTTTACGGAGCAAGCTTTTAAACCAATGGGCTTATTAACGGGTGGACATAGGCTTTCTGGTTTGGTTCTTGCAAAAACGTTACATCTAAGCTGTACCTATTTCCAACGTGCTTTAAGTTATATGCCAATTTTTGTACGAATGGAATGGCAGCCATTTTTCCTTGCTTCTTTGTCTCTGAATTGGATCTTTGTTTTTCGCCTTTTATTTCTCTGGCTAGGACCGTCCACACTTAGAAAATTCACTGTTCCGGGTAACCCGCTTGCTGAAATTTTTCCACCTGACTCCTGAAACTTTCATTGATTAGGTGCCCATACAATTTCTGCAAAGCTGACATAATACAAGACTTTGCTATCCCCCTCAACACCATCTTGGAGTGCCCAGACACGTAATCTAGTACTGGCTTGGCAGTTCTTGGTTGATAACACCAGCAAATGTGTTCCCTACCGAGTTTCAATTTTGAATCCAAGAATTGCAATTCTTTATTTTTAGGCTACCCGGTGGTGAACACAAGGCCCATGCTACTTTCCTTCAACACCTTTACCACGTTCATTACCTCTCGGGTAGGGTCACTGCCATGTGTGAATACCAGGAAATCTTCCACATACCTGAAGATATGTTTAACAATTCCAGAAATCGCTAAGAATAGGTGCTACAGATGAGCCTATACATTTTCCAGATCGCAAGATGAGACCTATTTTCCCATGAAACAAAAGTGTACCTTAAATAAAACCACAGCAGCTCTAGGAATGATGCTTTGTTGACACAGGGTTTCATTTTGGACAGTAATGCAGTCCTTTACGGTCACCATCATTTTGTCGTGAGATATGGAGTAGAAACAATCTTGAATGTCAATGCTGAAGGCATAACTACAACATGGATTACATTCTGAAAAAAACTTTGCCAATTGCATTGAATTTTTAGACAATAGAAAAAGTGGTGTCCTGTTATTTGCAGAAAAACTCTGAAGGCCTCTCTGTGGTTGATCCTTATTCCGCGAATTTCTTAGCGCCTATTCTTAGCGATTTCTGGAATTGTTAAACATATCTTCAGGTATGTGGATGACTTCCCGATATTCACACGTGGCATTGATCCTTCCCGAGAGGTAATAAACGTGTTAATGGTGTTCAAGGAAAGTAGCATGGGCTTTGTGTTCACTACTGCGTAGCCTAAAAATGAGTTGCAATTCTTGGATTTAAAATTGTAACTTGGTAGGGAACACATTTGCTGGTGTTATCAACCCAAAAGTGCCAAGTCAGTGCTAGATTACGCGTCCGGGCACTCCAAGATGGTGTAGAGGGGGATAGCAAAGTCTTGTATTATGTCAGCTTTGCAGAAATTGTGTGGGCACCTAATCAATGATAGTTTCGGGAGTCAGGTGGAAAAATTCCAGAAGGCGGGTGACCCAAAACAAGTAATTTTCTCAGTGTGCACGCTCCTAGCCAGAGAAATAAAGGGCAAAAAACAGAGATCTAGTTTAGAGACAGACCAGCAAAGGGAAATGGCTGTCATTCCATACGTGCACAAGTATGCACACAACTTAAAGCATGTTGGAAATAGGTACAGCTTAGACGAGAAGTTTTCGGCAAAGACCAAGCTAGCAAACTTGTGTCGACGCGTTAATAAGCCCATAGGTTTGAAAGCTTGCTTTGTAAAACACAAACATATTTGTGAAGTGCGTAAAGGGAGTGGTATATATGCTACCCTTTTCTTGCGGAAAAGTCTACATAGGCCAGTCAGGAGGATGCATGAACGACCGCCTTAGAGAACATCACACATCTGTTAAAGCATCAGGCAACACTCATCTTGCGGATCACTGTAAAAACTGTAGATGTTACGCAGTGTTTAAAGAAACGGAAATGTGATTTCGACACGAGGATCGGCAAACACGTCAGGTAGTGGAATCTTACCACATCCAAAAGAGGGGATAAGACTGTGTTAGCCAAGCTATGATTGTGCTGCATGATAAAGAATACGCTTATCTCTGCACCTAGTACTTGCAAAATATGATAAATGTCACATTATATGGACTATTTTGTAATACCAATACGAGAGGTTTCTGTTGCACCTTATTCTGATGCACATGCGCGAAAGACTATGTAACCACTTTAAATTCTTTTTCTGACTAATAAAGCTTCAGTTGTGAGAGCAAGCGCTGTCCTTGTCAGCCGCTTCTGTTCGTCAGTTTTTTAGTGTGCTTCAACAAAATATTCAGTTATGAAGTACTAGCAGGGTTGACTGGTGTTTAAAATCCCCCGTAAACTGGACGAGGGAATGACCACCACTGTAGCTCAGTTAGTAGAGTACTGTTCGCGTTATTCGAATGTTGCAGGTTCACTGCCTGCCGGCGGAAACTTATCTTTTCATTTAAATTTTCTTCTGGTTTAAATTCTACTAAGAGCATCCCCAATGCATCGTTGTCTGTTCTCATTATTTCTGTTGCCATTCGTAGGGTGCTGTCACTGGTGTGAAAATAGCCTTGTAATTGGCCTTAACTGTCCCTTCTAAATATTCTTGCCTTGCGATAAGCCCGTGGACAGTGCTTCACAACTCCTTGCATTGCTGTGCAAATAGCAGTGCGTAGTATCAAATCCACTAAAGCATAATAATTAAAAAAAACATTATCTTACAGGCTTGCTGATGTTGTATACGTCTTTCACCATGAATATAGAACAAATTGTAGTTCTTTTTGCATATTCAAGTAGTCTGCTGTCTCAAAGCCAGTCTTGTTGGTTGTATTGTACATGTTATTGGTCATGTAATGTGTAGACCATCCTGATCAGCGGTTTGTGCTGCCCTCTATTGGTAGCAGGGTGCCAAAAAGCTTTGTACTTGAAAAAGTAGTGCCGGATAAAGCCACTGTAGTATAATCAAAGGCTTCTGCATTTCATCTTGTGAGAGTACTGAAGCATTTTTGATTGCTGCCTAAAGGCTCATAGTGCATAGTCAACGTTTTGTTGTGTGAGATCTTGTTCAGCCGAGAAATTGCAGCTGTCCACACAAGACGGTCTACTGCACAGTGGATA